CATTTCTGTCTGAATTACAATAATGTCTTTTTTCACTCTTTGCTGCCCTTTTCCTTGTGCCAGATCCATAACAGCCCTGATTATGCTCCCTTCAGAAGTAATTGTTTGTTGTAGTTATTACTTGTCCTGTTTCAGACTTGTGTAGCCCCTCTAGAGTAAAAGTAAATCCACCTGTATATAAGCCATCCGGATTGTACATATTTTTATTTTTTATCTCTTATTTCTTTATTCCTTATTTTTATTTTGTTTTTCATTGTGTGCGATACATGTACAATTGCACCTTAATCCTTATTTACCTTGATATACTGTATATACCTGGATATACTGTATATATATATATTGTTTATTGTTTATCCTTAATGCACCTTTTTCCTCCTTGTTTGCACCTTCTTTGACTTCTATGCCAATATGTGACAACAAGTGAATTTCTCCGCTGTGAGATCAATAAAGCTCATCTAATCTAATTTAATCTAATCTACATATGGTGTCTTTAAAAATGTGAAATTGTGATGAAGGTAGATTTGTCTGTTGAATGTCCATTAAATTTTGGGCTGTACAGCTGAGGTGTATGGAACTCCACTGCTCGCTGACAGCACAATCTTACAGAGCACAACCACAAAATCCTAACGATCTCAAGTGTATTAAATCTGTTGAGGAGGATATTGCTAAGTATAGCAAAGGAGGATACTGCATAGTTCTCATTGTGTTGTGTGATGTTGAAAATATAAAGTATTAGAAGGTGAAAACCCCAAAACTCTCATGAATCCCCCCAGCTTCTCAACTAGTCCTCTTTTGTCCTGCCAGCACCATCATTCATTCTGTAGACACCACAAGGGTACCCCCACAGAGTGACCAAACCCTTGAGCACATAGGGACATTCAAAGTAATACCGTCCACACCAGTGGACACACCAAACCACCCCTGTTTCTATGCAGACTAGTCACCATTCTAGATCAGAGCAGTGGTAGTGATTTGGCTTGTGAACTTTAGGGGTTTAGCAGATGGGTCTGCTTAGGGTGGGCTGAGGGGAAAGATGACCCCATAGCAGGATGCCAGTACTGATGGCTAATACGCAGGACAAGGCTCTTCTCAGTCTCGCCTGCTGCTGCCACTCAGTCAGTATTATTGTTATCCACTGAAGGATGGTGGTCCAATTTCAGGTTGGGGGGTGATGGTACAGGGCCGCCGTTGTTGAGGCTACCGTCAAAGGATCGGGTTCAGTCACTCCGTCCCCCGCTGGCTCCCTGTGGCCTCCCAGAAGACTTTGAAATTCCCCCCGGACATTTTTTTAGGTATGAAAAGTAGGACATGTTCGGGGAAAAGAGGACGTCTGGTCACCCTACCATATCAACAATTTGATGTTTCAGTGAGTGAGTGCTTGTTGCTATGATTCCAAAAAAAAATTAAAAACAATCCACTGGACTTTTTATTTTTTTAGAACGACTATGACCTGGATGACTGAGAAACTTCTCCAGCTTGCTGCTATGATGCGTATTTGCTCAGAAGGTTTGCTCGTTGTAAACAAACCAATCAGCACACAGCTCATCTAAATATTCATGAGCATACCATAAAAGAAAAAAAAAAAAACTGTTGTGTCATTCTGAGGCTTGCATTAGGGCTCGTAGAACAGCAAATATGCCATTTTCAGCCCAACCAATGTTACACACCCTATTCAGAGACCTTAAGGACCAGCACCAAATATCCTATATAATCACTCTATGACCCCTTTATAGTTTGCCCGATGATGAATTAAACTTGTGGAGATCCACAATTTTTTCTCCTGATATCACGTTTGATATCACGGTATGCATGTTTTTTTTTTAGTGCCTCCATTGTTTCATACAAGGAGGCAGAGCGTAAAAGATACCTCCTTAAAATGATTGCAAAGGTACACCTCCAGTGAACTTCGATGTTAGGTGACACAGGCTTTTCTAATTTATTTAAATGAATATTTATAAACATTAATTTCTATGGACTTAAAAAGCACCTATCTCTTATTAGTCTGGCATTTAGAGAAAATAGATGAGTTTATACCTGCACTGACCCAAACTATAACAGGTTTAATCTATCTCAACCAAACCAACCATATGCATGCCTAAGCTTAAATCTATCCAATTGTTACATGGAGGCCACCAAATGACTTCTGTTTTGACTGTCTTAATACAGAGTGAATGCTGCATGAGGCTACAAACATAGTCACTTAAACATATAAATCCCTTTAGGGTCAAACCTACAGAGCAAGTCAAAGTTCTGTTGAACAGATTTGATAGACACGTATTAAAAGTTTGTGTTTGTATGTATAGCTGTGTGAGAGGCAGAGAAGGTTAGGAAAGGCTTGTGTTATGTAAAACACAACATCAACCAGAAAGACAGAGTGTCAGCCTCCACAGCGACCTCAAGAAGGCTTAAAAAGGAAACTAAAAACATACTGATCGTGTCTCTTGATGCTTCTGCCATGTGGCGCACTCTTTCACAGCAGCTCAATCCTCTCCGTCTTTCTGTGTCTGTGCCATGATGTGCTTGGTGGCAGGGTGTGCCTGGAGGCCCACACATTTAAAAATTCTTCCTTTTAAACTGCCTGCTTTCATATTAAAGCACAAGTGCAAAGAGAGCAGGAAAGACAGTGAGACAAAGACTGCTGCAGGCAAAGCATCTTCACAGAGAAGTAAAGGCCTGCGGTCTTTGTGCTCTTCCTCTTGTCTTCTCTTCCGTACTCTGCACTTATAATCTTCATTAACATACCCTTCTTTCATTTATTGGTTCTGTAATTTTTCCATTTTTCTTTTATTTTCACACTTTCAGCATTATTACACGTATTCTTTAAATTATAATTCAAGCTTTTATTCATACAGGTAATTTCTTACAGTAGAGCCGCAGCTATATTTTTATAGCCTGGGTGCCATTCCGAACTTAGTCCCGCCCACAACGTTTGAGGTCGGGAA